TACTCGATACAGTCATTACTCGATACAGTCATTACTCGATTCAGTTATGATTCGATACAGTCATTACTCGATACAGTCATTACTCGATTCAGTTATGATTCGATACAGTCATGAGTATACCACGACGCTCCCACCAGGTATAACACACCTGTAATTAAGAGACTGATTCCTCATTATCTCACTTCCTCGTCTGGATCAACAAAAACACCGTAAAAGAAAACAAATACACAATATAATACTGATATAAACAAAAACAAATGAATAATTATATCTATCACAACATAAACAAAAAAATTATATTAACAGTGAGAATTATTTAGTATTTTTTGAGGTGGAAGGGAATTTAAAGACAAATTCTTTTTCTTCCTCCAGTAGTTCCTGAGGATATTAACACTCGTAATAATGTTTAATTCTGGATATGTTAGTTTCTGGTCGTTTAATTCTTCTTGTGGGTCTTCCAATAATAGAAAAAAAAATAGGTTTTATTAATAAAAATTTAGGTCAACAAAAGTAAACAATGCGGACGTATGAGGCAGATTACACACACAAATAGTTTCGTCACTATTACTTAGGAACAGTTAATAACATCCAGGTACTTTAGATAGTAGTAGTAGTAGTAGTAGAAGTAAATAGTAGTAGTAGTAGTATTAGTAGTAAGTATTAGTAGTAAGTAAGAAGTAGTAAGTAGTAGGAGTAGTAGTTTGTAGTAGTAGATCTTAACATTACCATGCAACCATTATGGCTCCACCACTTGTTGTACTTCAGCTCTGGATTAAAGGTATGAACGACACTCAACAGCCACACTGGTCCAGGCACAACACAGACATGAGGAGGTCATCGTTCTCGGATTTTTATATATTTTTTTTATTTTTTTTTTTTTATAATTTTTTGCTGTGGGGTAAAAGTAGGAATCGATGCAGACAAACATAAGAGAAATGGACTCACAAAGATAGCTAGAGTGTTGACAGACAGTATAGAGTGTAGGCAGACAGTCCGGATTGTTGACAAACAGTCTAGAGAGTTGACAGTCTAGAGTGTTGACAAACAGTCTAGAGCGTTGACAGTCTAGAGTGTTGACAAACAGTCTAGAGCGTTGACAGTCTAGATTGTTGACAAACAGTCTAGAGAGTTGACAGTCTAGAGTGTTGACAAACAGTCTAGAGCGTTGACAGTCTAGAGTGTTGACAAACAGTCTAGAGCGTTGACAGTCTAGAGTGTTGACAAACAGTCTAGAGCGTTGACAGTCTAGATTGTTGACAAACAGTCTAGAGAGTTGACAGTCTAGAGTGTTGACAAACAGTCTAGAGCGTTGACAGTCTAGAGTGTTGACAAACAGTCTAGAGCGTTGACAGACAGTCTGGAAAGGCGACAGACAGACAGTGGCGTCACACGCACGACTATGGAGAAACAAAGAGATAATGACCAACACAGGAGGAAGAGAACAGCAGGGAAGGCCGTCGACCGACTGCCTCCTCCTGGTGACCTGACACGCGACGTGACCCTCAGTGTGGCCCCTGGAGTGGCCCTCCCGGTAGTGGCTATTACCTTGGACCACTGTGGCTCCTCCTTCCTTGGGTCACTGTGCCTTCAAGACACCATCTGGGCGTCTTCCTTTCCAGGACCACTGTGCCCCTCAATCTAGCATGATTCTTGGACCACTATGGCACTTCTCCAAAGTGGTCCCTGGGATTACCATGGCTCTGTGTTAAGAGTGGCCCTTGGACCACTGTGAGGATTCTTGTAACACAATGGTCACAGCAGACCAGAGACTGAATTACCACAGCGGACTAAATACCAGATCACCACAGTAGACCAGAGGATGGGCCACCACAGCAGACCAGAGGCTGGGCCACCACAGCAGACCTGGAGCAGCAGAGAGGAGCGGAAAGGGAGAGAACGAGCGGAACGACGGGGAGGAGGAAGAGAAGAAACAAGTGGACACAGAAGAAGGAGGAGGGAGAGAGAGAGACAGAGCCACAAGACTGGCCGGGCTAACACAACACCGCCCACTACCACACTACGGGCAGCGGGCCACCACCACCAGCGGGCGCGCCCACAGCACATGCCACGCGGGGCCTTATAAGCACGCCCACGCCTGTGAGCCCACGCCCAAGCCAGCAGCAGGCCCACACCCCCGCCTACACACGCTCTACCAACATCTAGTCAAGTTAAACGTGGGAGAGGAGAACGCTTCCTAACCGGATTCCTTGCCTTTTGTCATGACCCGGCAAGCGCAGGGGGCAATCTCGTGTACGGACGGGCACTGGGTCATCCGGGAGGAGTCGCCTACGTTCACGATGCTGCGGTCCCCGGCGGCGGCGCCCAGGGCTCCCTGAGACACGAACACCACCACACTCAGGCACACGTACAGCCACCACGACCTCTGTTGTTGACTTTTCCTGCCGCTGGCCCCTGCACGCCGCCCCCGAGACCCCTCACCCACGCCCGACACACGCAGCGCCGCGCCCGCCATCACAACCTGAGGGAGACACAAGGCAACATTTAATTAGCAGCAAATAATGAACCAGAATACATAAAGTGTGAGTTAATATAAGGCTCAGGAATATGGTAATAAAATGGTTCACCATCACTTCTTGATGCACAGACAAAACACGAAAAAATAATAAATTAAAAGAATATAATACAACACAATACCTGACACTGTTCAATAAGGTGCAACAGACTATAGTGTAATAATATGTCATCAGACGCACACCTGTGTAGTGTAAACAGTGACCTTCCTCTGTGACCTTCATCTTCCACCAAGTTTGTCCAAAATTACATCAGGTTGTTTTGGCCAGCAACCATCACCCTCTCAGGTGTCATGAGAGTCGGTGCGATGAAGATAGAGACAAGAGGAAGAGAAGGACGATGAAGAGAAACAAGAGGAAGAAGAGATCAAGAAGACGAAGGGAAACATGACACAATGAAGGAAAACAAAGAGAAGAATGAGGAAGAGGCAACACAGGAAGAGGGGGCTGTACAATAATCAATAACACGGTGAACAAATAAGATCCGTTGTGTGTGTGTGTGTGTACGTGTTTGGTGTTGTCAGGGTACGGGTAGATTTAGCAGGTAGTACACACACACACACACACACACACACACACACACACACACACACACACACACACACACACACACACACACACACACACACACACACACACACACACACACACACACACACACACACACACACACACACCACACACACGCACGCCACGCACACACGCACACACACACACACACACACACACACACACACACACACACACACACACACACACACCATCAACACAACAGTCAGACGTGTTGTTGGGTCCGACTTACAGCTTCTTCACACGTAAACTGCTCGCCAACAACCCTTCAGCCTTGTACATTATTCCTTAACAACTCCTAGTTTTATAAGATCTTTCTATTTTCACCTATTGTACCTACCTTCACTCACACCTAACCTCACCTAACCTAACTAACCCCAAACTATTGCTCAACAACCCCCAACAGTTTTACACTAGTTTCATAACTTTTACCCAAACTATATAATTTTAGCCAAAGTTTATACAGTAACACGAAAATTGATAAAAGTTTTACGTCAACTCAAAACAGAATTTTACAAGTGCATAAATTTTAGGCCTAATCTTTGGAGGCCTTTTACTGTAACTTGGTGTTGTCTGTTAAAGAAATATCAACCAAGTGGACAACGAATCGACAACGCCATCAGGATAAAAACGAGGCAGTGAGTTTAAGACCTGATGTATGTATGCAAATCTCAGTTCGGATTGAGCCTGGCAGCGTGAGGCAGTAATCTCCCCAGGGACAGGTGTCAGCTGCTGGGACAGGTGACAGGTGACAGGTGCTGGGGAAGGTGATAGGTGCTGGGAGAGGTGATAGGTGCTGGGAGAGGTGTCAGGTACTGGGAGAGGTGTCAGGTGCTGGGAGAGGTGTCAGGTGCTGGGAGAGGTGTCAGGTGCTGGGAGGTGTCAGGTGCTGGAGAGGTGTCAGGTGCTGGGAGAGGTGTCAGGTGCTGGGAGAGGTGTCAGGTGCTAGGAGAGGTGTGCAGGTGCTGGAGAGGTGTCAGGTGCTGGGAGAGGTGTCAGGTGCTGGAGAGGTGTCTGTCTCCTTCCCACACCCCACCAAACCAACACCTCTCCCTTGTGTACTCCTATCATCCATCTACAACCTAGTATACCCACTCACTACCATCCAGCATTGGCCGATATAAACCCCCCTCCATTCTCTCCTTGTACAATACGGCCCCTCCACCAGAATAAACACCTCTGTCCTCCACACCCACTCTCCAGGAGACCTCACACCATCTCCCTAGTTAATTACCGTGGGAGATGACAGGTGGACCTCATACCTGGGGCCATCTAGGCAGGTGGGTGTCTCAGGTGGATGCTGGTGATATATCTCAGGTCCTGTGGCATCATCACTACACCACCACCACCACTTACCACACCTCCCCTTCCTCACTATAATCTTTCTCCCTCACCATATTCCCTCCTTCCCCTCACCACAACCTTCCTCGCCCCACCATATCCAACCTCGTCTCACCCCTCCTTCTGCTCCCCCACCCCCTCCTTCTCCCCTCACCCTTCTCCTCCCCCTCATCTCTTCTCCCCTCACCCCTCCTCTCCCTACCCCTCACCCTCCTCCTCCTCCCCTCACCCCCTTCTCCTCCCTCACCCCCTCCTCCTCCCCTCACCCCCTCCTCCTCCCCTCACCCTCCTCCTTCTCCCCTCACCCTTCTCCTCCCCTCCTCACCCTCCTCCTCACCCCTTCTCCTCCCCTCACCCTCCTCCTTTCTCACTTCTCACCCCCTTCTCTACCCTGGCGTCATGCTGCTCACGGACTGACCTAAGTCCCAGTGTTATTTTCCTAAAAGAAAACATGCGAGTCAAGGGTACGAACTGAGGAAGGAGAAGGGAGGGAGGGGGAGGCGTAGGTCAGGTAACAGGAGGAGGAGGAGGAGGTAGTAAGGGAGAATGTTAGGTCAGGGAGAAATCTAAACACGAAGAGAAAGAGGGAAAGGATGATGAAGAAGAAAGGGTAAAAAGAAATGGAAATTGGGGGAATAGGGGAAGGGAGAAATTAAACGAAGAAAGAGGAGAGAGAGAGAGAGAGAGAGAGAGAGAGAGGAATAAATCAATGCTATACTATTTTTACTCCTAATAACAACAATCAGCTCCACCATAACACCACCAGTCAGGTTATACAGTAATGACCTATCTTGAAGCTCCTCTACACCCATTCCACCTCTACACCCACTCCACACCCACACTACACCTATACCTTATACAAGTGTTACATGACATCACCCAAGAGTCAAAAACGAGTATTAAAGCGACCATAAAATAAGTTGAGAAAATAAAACATTAACTGCCAATTCATCCATAAAAATATCATATATGTGGGTTTTTTTCTTGATTATTTATTATTTAAACATTGTTCTAAGTTATTATTATCCTCCAAGGCCAGAATATTGTAAAATCAGATCATATAGTCTCGTTTATGCAAGATAATTATACACTCTGGTTTGTATATTATTATTCAGAGGATATTAACAAAGATAGATGAATTCTCTCCATAACAGACGAAGTGGCAACTCTTCTCTGGGTGATAGCAATTCCATCTGTGGGTTAAATTATCAGTAAGTTATTTGTTGTCTCGTCAATAAACCAAGACTAAGTCAACAGCTGAACAACTTAATTACAACAACAAAAACAATAATAAGCACAATCATTTTCACAATTTTATTTATTTCCCCGTAAATATTGATAAAATAATAATGAAGTACTATTACAGGTTGACGTGATGCTACAGTGTAAAATGTCAGCTGTGGTGTGGTGACATCGACTATAGCGTGGTGACTTGTTATAGTGTAATGACGTCATCTAGTCTTGTGATATCATCTAGTGTGGTGACGTCTAGTGTAGTGACGTCATCTAGTCTGGTGACATCATCTAGAGTCTGGTGACGTCAGTAGGTGTGTTGTTGACGTCAGAATTAATGGGTATAAGAGGGAGGTCAGGGAGGGGCGAGAATCAATACTTGCTGGCAGTATTGGCAGTCTGTCACCTGTGTAAGCTGCTACCTGTCTTGTGACGTCACTACAGGTGCTTCTATCGACATAACAGGTGTCGGTGGCTACGTGTATCTTGCTGACGTCAGTAAATTGTTGGCTACAAAATGTTTCTGAAGTCACTAAGGTGTGGTTTAGCTTCTACTGACGTTACAACAGATGTGGCTACATATCTAATGACGTCACTAAGATGTTAGTTCCCTTGGTATTGATTGAGGATGACATACACAACACACACACACACACACACACACACACACACCTCTAATAGGGTTCAATCCGCCCTGAGAGACAGATGGTTACATGCACCTCTCCCTAATACCCACTTATCTCGTTACTATGGAGGTATCCATGAGAGTTAGGTTAGGTTAGGTGGGGGTGTTGAGACGGATCCAGTCCTCTTCCTCCTCCTTTACCTCCTCCTCTATTCCTTCTTCTGCTTTTTTAATCCTTCATCATCTTCTTCCTACTACTTCTTCTTCTTCTTTCCTCCTCTTCGTTCTTCTCCTCCACTTTTCCTCCCCTACTACTACTTCCTTCTTTCTTATCTTCTTTCTCCTTCTTCTTCTTTACCTCTTCCTCCTCTCCACCTGTGATGTCTCCTAAGCTAATAATACTCGCTGGATATTGATGGGTCATTAAAGCTGAATCACTCATATTTATGACTATAATACTCAGAATATTCAAAACATTATTCTCTCCTTATCTCTAAAATACTCGGTAATACTCATAAACAATATAATATTCTTCTATATATAATATTCGATGGATATTCCCCTAAAATTATATAATATTCAGTTGTAAATATTCAGGGGGGTTACTCAGGTAATTTTATTTCGTCGTTAAAATACTCATTATGGATCTATACACCTGTGATATAAGATAGTGTTTGGTGTGCATTATACTCAAAGTTGTAAATACCAATTACCTGTTTCTTGTTTTACAAAATATGTGATGTTTAGGACTGTTTTGTTTCTCACTGTTTGTTTTGTGGATGGGAGGAGGGAGGTGAGTCAGTGCCTGTTTCATTTGTTTGGTTCTTTGTTTTTACTGTCATATGAGATGTGTTGGTTTAATAATATTGTTTGTATGTTTTTAGTTGAATATTTCTTTGTGTTTAATCTATATTTGGCTCCATGTTATATTTTCTGGCTTAACTACATATTTCTTTCTTTAAACTACATATTTCTGTCTTCAAATATATACGTACATATAGTTTCTCCCTCTCTTCATAACTATAAAACCATCTTGAGGTCCAATTTACAGGTTTAAATCTCGCTCTCGACCAAACTAACTGAAGATACCCTACGTTAACTTTCGTCCCACCATTGAGATGAAGCCATAACAGGTAAGCTCAACCCTCCCCACCCCGTCCCCTATCCTGCCCTCCCTCATAAATACCTGTACCAACACCT